AAATTAAGTATTACAACTCAGCCACAAACAGAAACTCCCTTACAGCCCCCTGTTTAGCCAAGACATCAGCCATAGCATTGGCTGACCTGCTCACCCATTGTATAGCTTCTATTCACTATATAAACTCCTCACATACAATTAAAAATACCAGTATGCCCCTAGTTGTGTACTCCCTTACAACAACTATAACAATCATAGAAAAACAAATCAAAGACAATAACATAGAAAAGCATTGAGCATTTCTCAACAAACAAAAGCAGAATAAAAGAAATACTTGAGCAAATAAAAATTCTCTCTAAAAAAAAATAAAGAAACAAATTGCTTTTTTAACCATTTATATAGTCACACTAAATACGTAGTAGATATTAGAACCAAACAGTTATGAAAGATTTCCATGAAGAATCAGGCAACCATGAAAGTTCAAAACTGGAATGTTATCAAAACCTGGTCAAATTCATCAAGCTGCTTTACAGCCTCAGCAATTGCTTCCTGATTTTTCTCATCCCACTTTTTCTTCCTCTCTTTCTGTCAAAATATGTTCAAAAGTTAATTACAGTTCTAACAGAAATGAAAGACTCAGAGTAATCAATTGTGCCTTCAGGAAAATATGTTCAAAACATATTACAGTCAAAATATGTTCAAAAGTTAATTACAGTCAAAATATGTTCAAAAGTTAATTACAGCCTTCAGGAAAATGCTTACCTTTACACGGGAAGTCAAAGTGTCTGTGAAGAGATCATACACCAATTTATAACCCACATGCCACTCCCCAGAAGGATTTTTCCATGATGGATTTACAATCAATTGTGCTCCTATTTAAAAGAAATGAGTTTACTCTCAGAAAAATGAATATAGAATGATATAAATCATCACAGTAGGGCCTAAAAGCAACACTCATACCGTGGGAGGGACTGAATACACTCACACTGCTAGTTTATCTTTGAGTTCTTTCAGAATCTATGGAGAATCCTTATACATAATAGCACAACTGTAAAGACCTTTGGAAACCATTCGCAATGTTTTATGTGTTCTAATATGTTTCATTTGGATTATCAATCAAAACATTATAAAAAGAAAAATTATTTTCTAGAAACTAAAGAACTCAGGTATATCTCTCAATGGCATGGATTGCATTATGTATATGGTGGAAATCCTTAGATCTTCCCTGGGACATCATCTTTCTAGAGGTATCGCACTCCTTCAACTGAACAAGAGGCTAAATTGTAATTTGATGACAGCTCATCTGGGAAATCCAGAGCATTTGGAGGGGGTTGCATCCTCCACTAAGGCAGAGGGGCTTTCCCTTCTCACTGGAACTCAAATTTGACAAGAGAAACAATCCTTCTTCTCTAACCATCTAGGAGGACTCAAGTAAACACTTACTTGCATGGTGCAATTGTAAAATCACTAAACAAACATGAGAATACAGGTTCAACTACGAGCAACCATTTCATGCCAAAAGTGTCAGAGATTAGGTCAATATCCATCCATCCACCAAAGACTCCAGGAAGCCAGAAACAGCATCAAGGAATGGCCTTTTTAGAAGATGCAGAGCTATAGAAGCCAGGTCACTTCCTTAATGAAATAAGAGACATTGCATCCATCCATCCTGTCCAAAGGAGGTGGATTCCAAGAGAATTAAATTTGGTTTCTGATGGACTTGTGAATGAAGAGGTGGAAAAGGTTTTCTTGTAATAATACTAGTTGCATGCCTACTTAATTCAGTTGTTGAGTAATTGGCAAGTTTTTCTAACATGTTGAGGGATGAGAGTAATTTGGTAGTTGGGCTTTGGTGTTGGTTTTTGGTTCATTACTTGAGTGGTGTCTTCTTTTGAGTCTGGATATTGCAAGTGGCAGGGGTCTTTGTGTATATGAAATTCTTCTTTGGACATTTTCTTTTTGCCTAGGCTCCAAACCCCCCCTTGTTTGTAAAATTTTGCTTTACTACCAAAAAGAAAACAAATTGAAGACCATGCTTGCCAGAAACAGCACTAACAACAAACAAAATCAATTTATTCAATTCAATGACTTAACCGAGGAAACACACACAGTGTCAGAGAATGAAACCCACAATTTATGATGCACATCTAGCATATCCATATTGAAAGCTGAATTGATTGGATAACTATACCCATTTAAGTGGCAGACTTGTCTCCAAGTTTTGTCAATAGTAACCTATTTTAGTCAAGTTAATTAATCAGGTAGAATTGAGCATAGCCATATTGAAAGCTGAATTGATTGGATAACTATACCCATTTAAGTGGCAGACTTGTCTCCAAGTTTTGTCAATTGTAACCTATTTTAGTCAAGTTAATTAATCAGGTAGAATTGAACATAAGAGATGTCATATGTATTATCATTCTAGTGTTTTTGCCATGTGACATGACATGCATATGAAGGAGGACAACTGACTGTCCCTTCAAGTATCCAATGGAACTTGATACATCCCCAAATATGTGGAATGTCAAACAACTTTTCTTTCCTTTCTTAAAAAAGAGAAAACTCCACATGCTAGAGAGCAATATATTAAATTTTACAAATGAGAAATTAAATTCCAAATATATAGCAGAAAATTGAAGACAGGTGATGTTACATTGTTACTAATTAAAAAATCATGTCAAATGACAGAAGAAAAAATCATATTGTCACAAGAAAGCAGGTAAGTTGGCAAAATACAGTTAGAATTTCAGGATTCAAGCAATGCTTATTATTTGTATCTGTAATGAGTATTTCTCTCACCAACCTGAAGCTCCAATGATACAACCATTTGCATCAGCTTTTACCACTTTTGAGGTGTCAATATCTCCACTTCCTGTGCTGCAAAAGGAATATAATTTTGCTTCAAAAGATCTTCAAGGAATATATAGGCAGAAAAACCAAGCTACACGACTTTCTAAATTATGGGCTTATTCAAAGAGTCCAAGTACCAATCAAGGACATCTATGATTTTTGGCTTCCCATCTGAGGTAACTTGTAATCCAGCAGCAGCTGGGTCTACACCAGAATCTGGAAAACAATAATGTGATTAGTTTCAAATATATGGTACATAAATTTCAATTTTACCCATTGCATAAACATATTCTGGGTAAGCCACATTTACAAAAGGCCCCTTTATAATTAATATTATACAAAAATAACTGCCTAGATATAATAAAATTTTGAGGAGCCAGCTTGGTTCCATGGGGGTTGTAACCAAGGAGCTTTCTACATGACCTACTTCATTTTAGCCATGTGGAGGAATCTTGTGGCCAATCTAGATCATTATCATCCTCCAATCCACATCAACTCATATCCAATCTTGGAATGATGTTTATCTAGAATTTTTCAATTTGTTAATTAAAACTAGCCCATAAAAGAAAGTTTACCTAGAACATCTTCTCTGCCAATTTTTTTTTCATGAATCTAGGATGAGAAAAGGAAAATGGTGACTCTTTTCATCCACAAATAACTTTCCACACGGAAGTTTCGTGGGTTACTTAGACTCCTTTTCTAAAGTAAGTCAACTAGCAAACCTACTCCATATATAAATATCCATATACTTAATATAACATTATATATTCACATAGCAACTAAAATATTCAAGTCTGATGCAAATACAGAAGCAAAGAAAGGAACGGAGGACAAAAGAGTCAAATAGTAGACCTGTAGAATGCATCATCAACCAGACAAGAAGTAACTTTTTGACTAGTCAAATCTTATTAGATCTCGCTGAAATTTGGTGGGATTAAAGTACACTTACAGTATCCATGCTATAGGATTTCAACTCAATCCAACATGGTACCCCAACTAAAGACTTTAAGTTGGCTGATTTTTTGGGTTCTGCAAGTCATGTCAAAGTCTTAGACAACAAGTTGACCAGTAGACCATATTAGTATTCATACTTTCATAGTAGCTTTCCTCATTATTATTTATTGTAAAAGATGAGTTACAAATTTTAGTAATTTCTAGTTTCTTATGTTTAGTAGAAGTAGAGAGTTTTTGTGTCGTAGTTTGAAAGGGATGTTTCTGTTTTTTCTTGTTTGAAGTTTGAATACAAGTAGGAGTGAGTCCAAATAGGAGTTGGAAGTGCTACTTTGGGTCTACAAAAGGGTATCAACAGGCCTTGTAGAAAACAATCTATTCCATTCAATTGATTAAACAATTCTTTTCTTTCCTGTTTCTGCCACAGCCAGCAGCTATAGTAGAACTAATTCTTGTTTCCTCTTATATTTTCTCTTATTTATTTGCTTGTTAGTACTTGTGGCTAAAGCATCTTCCAATACATTGAATGGAATGGCTGATCATTCATTGTATGAAGTTTTTAAAACCTCGCTAATCAGCCTTACACTTTTATGTTCATAATGAATGAAATGAACCCCCACATTAAGAGAAAATCTCCCAAAATATACTATATTCTTGAGAAAGATCAATCCTATACCTCCTCCATACTTGTCTCTATGTTCACAAGTTGTACCCTTAAAAAAGAGCCCTACATTCATAAAAATGAAGAAATGTGACAAAACTCCTCTCTACTTTTCATTTCTCAGCCACTTTACCAACATCCCTGCTCTTCCCTTTCTATCCTTCATCCCTTAATTTGGTTTGGACTGCAATCAACATAGACTTTTCTAGGTTCTTTATTCTAAAAATCTGCATTACTACATTGTCTTTAAACAAGCCAATGCCAAAGTTGAATCTTTCTTTTCCTTTTTTGCCAGAAAGGTCCAGAACATGTATGTATATGGATATTCCACTAAATATAATCTAACTAACAAAGATTTAATATTAAATTATAAAATATCTAAAGACTCCCAACCCAAAAGCTAAGCTATACTAGACAATTCTATCAACTTGGTATGCACCAAGACCCACTCCACTAGCATAATACAAATACCAGCTTCCACTTTCCTTGAAGATGAAACCTTTCCTTCAAAGATACACCTATTCCTACCCTACAAATGCATCCAAACAGGCCACAAAAGCTATAGTGTTCCATTAAGTTTTAGCTTTCTTTCCTCCTAAAAATGCATGCCACCTTAAAATATAAAGAAATAATAAATCAACCAGAAGAGGACGAACCCTTAGATATGCTTGAAAAGTATGACGAAGATAGACCAAATGGAATCAGTCAACATACAATGGTATATAGATGTGTAACATCTTCAAATATCTTACACAGGAAACACAAATTTGTCATATACAATCGACTGATTTCAAATGACCAGTGGTTAAAATACCGTCTAGAGACAGCATCCATGTAAGACTTCCACCCTTGGTGGAATTGAACTGCTCCAACCACCTTCTAACTGGAAATTATCCAGTTGATTTGCGATGACTGCATTACTAAATGACTTCACAGTAAGTTGGCCATTCACACATTCTTTCTACCACCTTGCTTCAGCTGGTATGTGATTAATTATTGGTGAATTGAAAAAGAGATTGATTTTCTTTTGGAAAGGAAGATTTTCTATTATGGGAAGCAAACCTTACTATTTTTAACGGTACCTTATACAAGTAAAAATGTTATGTTTGCACATAGAAAGTCACAAAAAAAGTAAATTTTGAATATCAGTTACTTGTAACTAATAATCATTGATAACTGATAAAATGCCTTTCCACCATGACTATCATAGGGCCTTTGTACTGCAATGGGTCACTTCCATGGTTGAGGCCTTGTTCATTAGTTTATATAGGATGATCAATACGCCTTGATTTGGATCCTGACGTGCAAGTGAGAGGCTACACATCAAAGCCCACCCACAAGCTAAAGTGACGATAAAAAGAAAAATTGGGGAAATGATTAGGAGCACTCCTTCAGAGAACAAACAAGCTCCCTAGGTGGATATATCTTTTGATAGGATAGCCCAAATATAAATGCACCTCATGGTGGCTCCGTGCTTTGTCCCGACAACAAATGAGACTAGTTGTGTTTTCTGGGAAGAGAAATTCTGCATGGATGATATTTGCATGCTTTCTTGTGAGTTAATTTAAAGTACGAATTTTGTTAAGTGGTCTCAAGGAATGGAGTCAAAAAAAAAAACTGAAAATTATCAAAGAACCTAAGAAAGTAAAGATTAAAGAAAATTAGAGGACTTGAAACGAAATAATTGCAGCCTTTGATCTATCAATCTATTAGAGAAAAAATAAGTTGCAAACGAAATAATTGCAGTCTTTGATCTGCCAAGTCATTCTGCCTTAACCTACAAAATATATAATCTAATCAAAGCACTTCTAGTGCACACTAGCTTTTATAAAAGTAAATAATAATAATAATAATAATAATTACTTTTTCCCTAAAGCAACTCTTATACAAATATTAGTTTTCCGTTCCGTACTCGGAAGTCCACTAGTCTCAACGTTCACTTCTCGTAATTACACAATGAATACAATAAGAACAAGTTTGAACGATTAAGTTACCGAAAATCGCAATAACAACGCCTCGCCCATCGTATTCAGGATGAGCTTCGACAAATCGGTCGGCCCCGGTCTCCTTCTTCGGCATCAGTGAAGCTAAGAATGTCGATTCTGTTAGTTTGAAAGAACGAAGAGAACCATTTTCTTCAGCAGATACAACAGCAGAAGAAACAGGCATTGCCCTAACTTCGCACCCCCTACTTCCTCTTCCTCTCTTTCTGGAATATGAGAGTGGCAGAGAAAACAGAAAAGTCGGAAAGAATAATTGCGAAGATAATTTATCCCAACATACTGCTTTAAATAATGGGGGTAGCATTTCAATTTAATTTTCCTACTTTTTTATGAATAAAGGTTTTTTAGTAAAAAATGGTATTCCGGTGGGCGGAATTTCCAATTTCGTAAGCACGGTGGTTTCTCGGCATCAAATAATTATTTCCGGCGAGATTCCTTCGGTGCGTAGACGGGCGCTAGGCGCCACTTGGCCGGAAATTTAGAGTCATGTTGCAGCGCAATTGGTTGGTTCTCTTCGTTTTGCGTTGTATTCGTTTTCTCGTGTATGAAATTACAAAACTGTACTAAACGTCGTGTGTTAAAACAAAAAAGTAAATCGAAATTTTAATAAAAAAGATAAAGGAGAGAAAATCTTCTTAGCCACATATCTTCATCATTAGGAATACTTACATCCGTGATTTGTACGCTATTTAGCATTGCAATGGATGAGTCAGGTAACGGATCGGATCCAATCGAACCGTAGGTAGGTCGAAATTACAAAAATGTAAAATAAAATAAAAATAATATTAATTAAAAAGGTATATTTTAAAGTTTAAGCTAAATGTTTTAAAAAGCATATTATGCATAAACAAAACATATATTGTATACACGTAAAATGTATACAGTAAAATATAACAATAAAATTAAACATAACATATAATACATATTCAATCAGTCAACAATACATGAAACATCCAATCTCTTTATTTCTTTCCTAGTTATGTACCGAACTCTGTACATCTAAACAAGTCCGTGTTAGGATTTAGATGAACACCTTATCACTATTTTGGTTATGATCATTTAGATGAACATCTAATCAAGTGGTCAAGGCAAGGCCGCAAGGGGTAACTAAGGATCAATTCTATTGATATCAACTATATTGTAACAAGGAAATGGGTTAGGTGGTTTTAACCAACCTAAAATGGACAGATAGACTGGATGCAATCATCGCAAAATTTGCCCTCACACCCTCCTCACAACACCTACATTCATGCATTTGCAACATCTCCATATTAGTATTTTTTTTTTATTCATGTGAGGATGGTGTGAGAATAAATTTTGTGAGCATTGGATCCATATTAGTTGATGGATACTTGGTTGTTGAAAGTGAAATTTATATTTAAAAAAAGGCAAATTTCTTAAATTATCTTTATGGTTTAGCTAATTGACCAACTTTACTCTTATTTTTATATATTGTCATAAAGTACCCTTAAATTTTTTAACAGTTGATATGATAGCTAAGTACTAACAAAAAATGAAATATCAAATTTGTCCTTCATTAAGCTTCAAATTTTCAAAATAAAACCCAATTGATCAAAAATTTCACAAAGATGAAGAAGCAAATCATGCTCTGCCTCCACCTCCTTCTCTGTCTCCAATGCTTTACATAGTGATTTCTTATCTTGTTGGTATTCTCACCTTATTCTCTCTCTATTGGATTGTTTATATGGATTTCATCCCTGTCTTTGATTTGGAACCACTAAGTTTGATAAGATGATAATGAAATGCTTGAGTCTCAAAAGTGTTTATCAATAAAATCTAAAACGTCAAGAGCAACCGAAATGGGAGAGGAAGCCAAAACCTACATCTCTCTATTACTCTTTGTTGCTTCCTCTGTTATTGTCCCTTTGAACTCTAGTCTTTTTTTTTATTTCTAGATTCACTTTTTTAAGTTAAATAAAAGAAAAAAAAGGGCAAATTGACCCAATCGACACATGGGAGATACGGTTCCTATCTTCTTATTTGTCTCAATGGTTTTCACCACTGCTTGAGCATCAAGTGAACACCGCATATTATTATTTCAGTCCCAATTCACTCAATTTGACCAAGCTTATTATTTCAATCCTTTACATTCTTATACCATTTCAAATTTAAACCTGAGAGCGTGACAAGGAGAGATCTATTGTCAACAACACTAAAGAACCCGATAAAAGAAGTATGTTAAAAAATAAGAGAAAAAGCTAAGAAGTTTGATAAGAGAAAAGGTCCACCTGGGTTGTACGTGCACAGTTGCAAAAGTAGTTTTACCCAGTAGTTGCAAAAGTATTTATACCGTTCTTGAGCCAATTTTGATCGTGAATCCAACCATTGTCTGACCACGCCTTTCCATTCCCTATCTTCCCATTCCGGAAACCATCCACCACATAGGTTGTAGGTGCATTGACTACAATTGTTGAATATACCTAGTAGTTGCAAAGAGAGAGAGAGAGGAGGGGCGGGGAGAAATCATGAGCTATTTCACATTAGAGAGAGAGCAGGGGCCAGGGGAGCGAGGAGATGAGCGAAACCATAGGTGACTGGGGAGGAAGACTTCTACCCAAAAATCATTGCAAAATACAACAAAAGGGTATTTTAGAAATTTTTGAAAAATATATGAGTCGCATGATGTCACATGTGACAGAAAGTTAACAGGGAGGTTTTAGACAATTATGAAAAAATTAAAGATACTTTTAAACAATAAAGGTAGAATTAGTCAATTAACTAAACCATGAGGGTATTTTAAGAATTTTGTCCTTAAAAAAACAAAAGAATTGATTTAATTATAAGCCAATAACATATAATCACTTACAACCTAATTAAGTAGGTTGGGACCACGTTTATTAAATAAGGCTAATGAGTTAACTATAGATCTCATTTAGGCCACTGGGGAGAGTCCCAAACAGGCTCTCCCTCTCCTTAAGTGGGAAACCAAGTATTGTTAACATGATGGAGAGGAGAGGATTCAAATGTTAAAAGTCGTGGGGTTAGGAGCAATCTATTAAGTTACTATTTTATCTCTTTTAAGCTCAGTCCTATAAGTGGGATTACATAATTTATTACTTAAGAGAGAGAGCAACATGTTGGGAAAAACTTTGGCTGCTCGGGACTATGTTGTTTAAAGAGTTTTTGGAATGCCACATTTCCATGAGAGTGGGTAAATTAGTAATTGCCCCCTAATTTACTTTTGACAAAAAAACAAACACATGGGCAAGAAAAACCAATTAAACCAAAATTTTAAATGAAAAAACAAATCGAATAAACCAATATTTTAAAAGAAAAATCGAATCGAAGCCAAAATAATTGAAACCGAAATTTTCGGTTTGGTATTCCATTATTTCAACTAAAACTGAATTTCAACACTATATATATTTTAATATATATGATAGATATTATATATTAAAAAATATATATTATACAATGTATATAATAAATTATATATTTTAATATATAATATAAAACAATATAATATATTTTATACATATTATCATGTATTTTTTTGGTAAAAGATGATTCATTATTAAGACAAAGAAACTCACAAAACAAATAAAACCAAACATCTATAATAAAGTATGGCTAATTCGGTTTTTTGGGTTAACCGATTTTCTAAACCTAAAAACCAAAACGAAATTTTTAGTTCGATTTTAACCGAATAATGCTTATCCCCATGCATTGTAATCAAACGCATTCTTAATAAGACGTATCACTAACCAAACATTAATAAACACATACAGTGTTCCATACACTTTTTTGGAATACCCCCACTTATCGAACTCCAAAACTAGGGGTGCAATTTTGTTCGGTTGGGGTTGGGATTTTGTCAAAATATCAATAGACCAAATCCAAAAGATCCTCAAGTCCAAAATAGTGTAGAATGTTATTTCGGGCCATTTTGAGTTGTACTCATATCTACAAGCCCTCGTGAGAGGGGGGTTCATTTTGTAGCACCTTCCAAAAAGTGGCATGCTTCCAAAGTTTGGACCACCTAGGTTTGGATTGGAGTCTCATTTAGTGAGGGAAGTTGTAGGGGTGCAAGTTGGGCTAGGTTAAGTCAGGTTGAGGTCAAACTAAGTTTGTACCCCCAAACTCTAGCCCTAACAAAATCTACTACGAATCACAATAGGTTTGTTAGTAAAAATCCAAAATCATGAAACCAATAACAATAAAAACACAAACTCATAGAACATAGTTGGTAGGATCTCTGACTTGTTGTAGCAGAGACCTAGGACTAAATCTCGCTACTGGTGTGATCCGAAAGCGTGTCGTTAAACAATTCGGAACACCAGTTTAAACATTTATAATTTTATTTCGATTCTCAAATAACTAATAACGCATTAAAGTGATGAGAACGAGTTGTATCCATAGGGAAGCGAGGAAAAAAATAATATTTTCTTAGATCCGGAAAAGATAACACAAAGGGGAGTTGTAGAAATATTAAATTAATTAATTAATTAAAAAGAAAAAAAATGAATTTCATTAAAACCAAATTCGAACAGTACTGAGAATAACAAGTGCATAGAAATAAATAACTGAGATAAATAAAATAAAATGAACGAAATAAAAATGTTTCTCTTGTTTGGGCATCCTTCTCTTCCTCTACCCTTGAACTTCTTAAGATCAGCCTTCCTTCTTACCTGGGTGAATTGACCAACCCCTTCTACAGGGCCCCTGAGACCCTTTTTATAGAGAATGGTGAGCATAACTAGAAATAGGGAGAAAGATGGGGGCGACAACTAGGTTTTAGCAAAGTTAGGGACGCCTTAGGGTTTCTAATGAATGACTGAGATGGTTTTGGGGAGATCCTATGGCTGAAAATAAAAGGAGAGGATGCCCAATATTATGTAGGGCTGAGATTTGGGTGCCCATAAATTGAGGGTGTAGATTAGAACATCTAGGGTTGAAGGGTTAAGATTAAAAGAATAGGTGGTGCCTTAGATTGAATGGTTGGGATATAAGATGGAGGGAGTGGTTGATATTTAATGGTAGGGGAGCTGAATGGTGAGGATTAGCAGAATAGGTGGCACCCTAGGGTTTAAAAGTCATAAAGGAGAGACCTAAAATGAGTAGTTGATATTAAAAGAGGTGGAGGGTGGAGATTAAACACCTATGGGCGGCTAGGGTTTGCTAAGAGTGAAAAGATTATGTTAAAAAGGCTCCCTAGGGCTTACTAAGGAGAGGGGAGCATGGTAATACAATAGGATGGGCGCCCTCCTATTCTAAGTTATTTACAAAAACACCCCCTCTCTCAGTTGGTCTTCACACCAGTTCCCCAGAAACTACATTTCAGCCATGAAAATTTTCCCGTTTTCTACATAATTTGCACAAAGACCCTCAAAGGTTACATAATTAATTTTAATTGGGAAAATGATACACTTTGACTACTCTATGATCGAAAATACCCCTGAATTGATGCCCTCAAGGCATCAAAATGCAGGGTTATCAGCTACCACTAGGGTTTGGGGGATTTAAGGGGACAAGATTGACTTATTTGCACTGATGCAAAACTATGATAGGCAAATTTTAATTTACTTTGTTTGATTGAATTATAAATAAAGTAAAATAAAACTTAAAACAATAAAAAGTAAAATCCAAAGCAAATTTAAACCATAACTTGCATTATATGTTTTCTCTCCTCCCATTTTTTTTTGCACTCACATGCATTCATAATGTGCAAATAAAGCTGCATTGTTAGGGTTAGCAAATGGTTCATTTGGTTAAAAACCAAATAGAATAAACCAAAATTTTAAATGAAAAACCGAACCGAAGCCAAAATAATTGAAACCGAAATTTTCGATTCGGTTTTTTAGTTATTTCAATTAAACTGAATTTCAACACAATATATATTTTAATATATAGGATAGATATTATATATGTATTATATACTATACAATCTATAAAATAAATTATATATTTTAATATGTAATATAAAACAAAATAATATATTTTATACATATTTTTTTGGTAAAAGATGATCCATTACTAAGACAAAAAAACTGATAAAACAAACTAAACCAAAATTTTGGTTAATTTGGTTTTTCGGTTAACTGGATTTATTAACTTAAAAGCCAAAACCAATATTTTTGTTCGATTTTTCGATTTTAACCAAATAATGCTCACCCCTATGCATTGCAATCAAGCGCATTCCTAATAAGACATATCGAGTAACCAATCATTGATAAACAAATTTAGTGTTCCATACACTTTTTTGAAATGTGCTACAAAATGGAACTCTTATCCACACATGCTACAAAATGGAACTTGATGAAGGGTGATTTGGCCCAACCTGATAAAAAGGGGACACGTGGACACGACCTGACCAAGAGATGTCAACTCAGTTTGACAAGATCAGTTCATAGCAGTTGAGCTTGCGTATTCAATCACCTCGACACAAAAGCCGCCTCGGCTCAAGGCTCACCTCGGAGCAAGGCCACCTCGTCGCAAGTCTCACCTCGGCATCGAGGCACCTCGGTATCCAAGCCAGTTTGTAACTAAAAGACCGAAGTACCAGTTCGGAACCAACAACTCGAAGTGCCACGTAACTGACTCCCGCGTAACCAACTCTAGAGGTCTCTCCAACGAATCCCGAATCCCTCGAGATCATGATGAGTTAACAGACCCCGACTTTTTCGGGATCACGATAAGGACTTATCCTGACTCCGTCGGAATCGAAGATGGAATGAGATAAGCCTTACCTGTATGCTGTTCCTTCGAAAGCGGAGCGAATTCCATCTCCACATCCCGGATACCCCGAAACTCTTTCGTGTGCCCCACGAATACTCAACTATATAAAGGCTCCAACCTCGATGGCATAAGGTACGCGTGATTTTTCTGCTCTCTAGTTCTCTACATTCTCAAAGCTCTTCAACTCTAACCAAATTACTAACTTAAGCATTGGAGCGACCTCACCGGGTTAGCCACCCCCAGTTCTCTGATCTTATTTTGCATATTTACTTAGCTTGCCGTTCGACTGGAAGCCAAATCACCCTCCAGTAGGGAGGAGTCAGATCACGCTACCCTAGTACCCCCACTTACCAAACTCCAAAACTAGGGGTACAATTTTGTTGGATTAGGGTTGGGATTTTGTCAAATCATCAATGGATCCAATCCAAAGATCTTTAAGTCTGAAATAATGTAGAATGTTAACCAAAACCATTTTGAGTTGCACTCATATCTACAAGCCCTCGTAAGAATGGGGGGGTTTCCATTTTATAGCACATTACAAAAAGGGAATGAGGATTTAATGGCGTTTTTCTTAATGGCATTTATATAAGCGCCACTATATATTATTTATAATGGCGTTTATTAAAAATGTCACTATATCCATATCAAAAACGCCATTATATGCAATTTTAAGTGTCAATTATTAAAATGCCGTTAAAGATATATTTAAATTGCCGCTAAATATATGGTTTTTAAGTGGCATTTATTAAAATGCCGTTTAAATCAGCCTTAAAAGTCATTAAATATTAGCATTTTTTGTAACCATTGATTCCACTTCTAGATCAATGGTGTAATTTAACTTTCATTGGAGAAAATATATACAACAAAAATTGGCGCGTGGATAGCAATTTCTTCCCGCGCCCATTCTTCTTCTCTCTGGCAACACATTTCTCCTGCTTGTATCTACCAAAACCGCATTCATCAGGTAAAGCGGACGTAAACGTCAAAGGGGTAAGAAGGCTATGAGGGGAAGAGGTAAGCTCTGATGTAGTGTGTTCGGACTGAGAGTTGGGAAGAAGTTTGTGTTTTGTTGTGTTTTCTGCGTTCTTTTGAATCAATGTTCAATTGAGGGATTTAATTTCTACGTGTTCGGCTGTGCATGTCGAAGGAGCTTATTTTTTTCACTGTGCTTTTGGATCAATGTTCTTCTCTCCGGCAATGTTCGGATGATGTAGTGTGTTCGGCTGTGCTTTTGGATCAATGTTTTTCATCAGAAGCCACCACAGCAGAGAACCCTAATTTTTTCGCTCAAAACTAGTGTGTTATTCTCTCCGGCAACGCACGTCTCTTGCAAGATACATTGAGTTCGGCTGTGCATGTCGTCATATCTTCAGCCATTGTCTTCTGATGCTTGAAAGGTTAAGTACTTTAAGCAGCTCTCGCGAGGTCCTAACCGACGTCACTAACGAGGCTGATGCAGCGCAACCGTAGCTTTAAGGAGCTGACCTGGCGTGGCCCGGCAGCCTGGCCCTGGCGCGACCTGGCTACTTGGCCCTGTCGCGACCCGGCAGCCTGGCCCAGGTGCGAACTGACGAACCGATAAAAGGCCTCGGCACTACGATAAATCTCAGTCGCCTCATCGGCATGGGCATACAAGTCCTAGTCGCCGGGCAAAATCAAAGATTAAGGAGAATGGATTACGAGCCGCTCCCACAGCCTTAAGGCTAAAATACCACTTAAGACCTGGTCACCTCTTTGACATGGGCAAGATCAAGGAGAGTGGACTACGAGTCGCTCCCAAAGCCTAAGGGCCAAAATACTGAACTAGCGAAGACCTCCTCACCATATAAGATCCAGTCGGCACGGGCAAAATCAAGGAGCGGATTGGAAGTCGCTCCAAGAGCCTAAGGAATTGAAATGACGCTTACGAGCTCATCGAATTATTTATTCTGGGCCAAAAGGAGAAATCTACTCCCTTTGTCAAGTTACTTTCGGCTCGGGAGTGGGGGGGGGGCAAATGATGAGGGCAGATTTGGCTCTCCAATGATATTGTGACACATGACACCTCAGAACAACTAGGTGACACCCAAAACCACTTTGGCAACAACTTGCCTTAGCCAAGTTGATGGTGTCCCACCTGGCGGCCTGGCCCAGGCGCGAGCTGGCAGCCTAGCACAGGCACCGACCTGGCGGCCTGGCCCAGGCGTGACCTGGCAGCCTGGCACAGGCGCGACCTGACGACCTGGCACATGCGCCGACCTAGCGACTTGCAAGACGTGCTCGCCGACGAATTCGGCATGCATATCCAAACACTCCCACGATCCGTGGAAGTTGGCCCACGTGCCGAACGATCCGGTGGGTGGTCAACGTGCATGGCGATTACCTCTAGGAATCTCGAACCACTTAGACGACCTCGCAGAAATCTCGGATATGGTGCGTGAAGCCCATGCCAAACAATGCCTATATAAAGGCACCAACCCCAATGGCAAGGGAGCAGGCAAGCAAGTAAGCAAGTTCTAGCTCTTAGACTTTGTGATTTTTAGCTCGCAGTCTACTATGAGAGTACTGACTTAAGCATCGGAGCGACCTCGCCGGGTTAGCCACCCCGGGTCCTCTGACATTTGGTTCCTTGCAGGTCTCTAAAGAGCAACGAAGCTCATCACCTCAGCTCGCCACCAGGCAGCTCGGCACCTAGTCAGCCCAGCACCTCATAGGCATCCCTTGCACCTGGTCAGCCCGGCGCCTCACAGGCAGCTCGCCACCTGGTCAGCCTAGCACCTCACAGGCAGTTCGGCACCTCATAGGCAGCCCTGCACCTGGTCAGCCCGGCGCCTCACAGGCAGCTCACCACCTGGTCAGCCAGTACCTCATAGGCAGCTCGGCACCTCACAGGCAGCTCAACACCTAGGCAGCTCGGCACCTAGGCAGCTCCACTTCAGCCTCAGAGTCATCGGCCACTTGGAAGCAGACCAAATGACGAGGCACTTAGCCAAAAGATTGATACATGATCAAAAATCGATTCATCAGCTTGCAAGATACATTTTTGTTTCATTTTATTTTGATTTTTGTGTGTTTTTTGGTAAAACATTTGGGGAGGGTGTTGGAAACATGAATTTTAGGAGATAGATGGAAACCCCTATTGGATGCCATAGGAAGACAAAAGTGATGAATTCTGTTTTCCTTTTTCTTTCTTCCTTGCAAAGGATGCATTGTGAACAACTTGTTAATCATCGATGACAGATTTAACCAAGTCAAAGTAGAGGAAGGCAAACTTAGGTATTACTCTTCTTTTGTTAGAAACTTTCTGATGTAATTCATATTTTTTAAGGGTGGTGATTTAGGGTTCTCTTAGTGCCCAGAAGCAAGAGCTGTAGTAGGGGTGATCATTTCTAAATGCTAACCCAACCAACAAGTTTCCAGGCCTGGACCTGGGTTGTGTGTTCAGGGTTGGCCTGGGCCTCTTGAAGTATGTGCGATCATATGTATGTATTAAGTGTGTTTTTGTGTTTATTAACTTCAGACCCTGTTTTTCTTGTAACAAATCCCTTTGGAATGTAAGGCTAGTCATCAATCTAAGTTCAGCTTGGTATCATGCGTTTCAAAATAAAAAAAGGATGGATAGTATTCTTACTGCAGATCACTTGAAGAAAAGGAGATTCTAGATGGCAAGTATTGATTATATGTGAACAGAAAATGAAGAAGACATCAAGCACTTCATATCTCTTTTAGTGTGGCTGTAGTTAACATTTGAAGAAAAGTATAGAAATATTGAGAGGATGTGTGCTTATATTTCACCAATGATGGTCAACTAGGTGTTAATTCAACATTAATTTTTGGAAGTCTTAAGAAATTCTTTTGGGTCAAATTTCTGGTCTAGTTTAAAGATGAGTCTGTTCTTGTTATTAGAAAGTTTAAGTAGTAGGTGTTTTGGTTTCTTGTTTTTGCTTGGGTATGAAAAGCATTATGCTGTCCATTTATGATGTCATCATCTCCTTTCTGTTTTTTTGGTGAAGCCTTATCACCTTCGTCCTTTGAGGGACTCTTACATTCTGTTTTCTTCTTAATAACATTAGCTTTTGTTTTATTATCAAAAAAGGTAAGGACCTCAAACCACAAGTGCTGATAATCATGGTTGCATCCAATGAGTACTCATTGATATTGATATAAGGTTGCAAGGTGTCACTGTTATGCAATCTTTACCTGTATCAGTTCCCTTGGTTTATCAAGTTCAACTTAATGCTTTTGTCAATAGCAAGGCCTCCTCAACATGACTAATATGAGGGATTACCAGATGACATAATTCCTTTTTTTCCTTCATAGAGGTTATCTCCAGCCAAAAGACAACTTCCAATTTCCAAATGCTCCAATAAAATGGATCAAATGCTACTGCTATCAAAAACAGATAAAACAGTACTAAGACTAAACACATCCCAAAAGCCCTCCCAAATGGGTATTTAGTCACTAAACAATGCATCATACCAACACTAAGATTGTTTAAAAATGGTGGATCGTTGGCCGGTGACTTAGTCTGCTGTATCCTTCATGTTTGTAAAGAAATATTATTGAAGAAAAGTGCCAGTAAGTAGTTACTGAGGGTATTGATAAAAATAAGCTTTTTCTAAGCAAAAAATAATAATAATAACATAGATAGCAAAGGTATGGGCTCTTTGCTCCATCAATTATTACAGTAGGCTCGTGCTTTTGACCCTAATAGAGGTGTTCCAAAATTGGTCCTCCCATTACACACATGGAGAACACTTTTGCTCTTCCCCCCTATTGGAATTCTCATGCAGCTTTCTGAATTGGCCACATGTTCGGTCACCTAATCTCCCCTTCAGTCTCTCTCACTCCACTTTGAATGGGAGCTGCTCTCTGGTGACAGTTGAGATTAACAGAAATGGCTTAATTTTTGGATATATTTCAGGGCTACATATAAAACCTATATACCCAATGAGTAGCAGATGGAGGAAGAAGCATGTGGCATGGTGTGTCTCTTGAGTCCATAATTAGGAAAGAATTGTTTATATTAAGGCTTATTTTATTTGCAATGCAATTTCATTTGCACTGGTATAAAAGTATGGGAATGCAATTTCTGATTTATCTTTGTTCTGCTTGGTTGCATTATAAATGAAATAAAATTAAAATGAAACTTGAAGTGAAGGTGGAATCTATCAACCTTAAATTCATAATTAGCCCAAAAGTGGACCTACTAAGAAAGAAACCCTATCTTAAATTCATAATTAGCAAATTAAGGGGCTAAGAACCAAGATGCTTCTTAGCATCAGGGAAGTCTAAGGTGGAATCTATCAACTAGTGGGCCTGTGAATTATGGGCCCCATACTGATTTGCAATTTCTCCTGCCCCAGAGACCCATATGAAGACATTTACTCGAGTAAGGTTTAGTTTTTTGAGACCACCTTGATTCACTGAGGCAACAGAATCCACCATGATTAATGAATTAGATTGTCCATGGGATAGATTAACTTCCTTTTTTCTGTCTTCTTTTAATCTGCAGTGGTCCCTAAATGGACCAGCTTCATAAGAGACTGATCTCCCATGAGGCTAAGTATTGAGTAGAGAGCTCTCACCTATAGTCAACAGGTTGGAATTATTTTTGGCCAAATGATATTGCCAGGTAACATTTTACTATTGCCAATTGACAATTCCACAATGTACTTTGTACTTTGTAAAACATTATTAGAAATTTAAACTGGAATCTTTAACTAGTTTAGTTTTGTGGGGTCAAGAATTCTGCCACTCATCTTGACTTATTGCTTCTTTCTTCTGGCCCAAGTAGGAGGTGTCCTTCTATGATGAATAAGTCTATTTCTTGATGCCTCCACCAACTACATTTGGAATAGTAAATTGACCTTTGCTGCTGCAAATTCATTTAGCCTGCCCATTGTTCATTTTGTCTTATTGTCCATCTCTGTTTAATTTTTTTCCTTGTACTTAGGTTTCAGAAGAGGATTAAAAAGTTAAGACAGTGGTTTGATAGGTTAACAAAGGTAATAAGGTTCTAGTATTTTCAGATATTTTCATGCATTTTTCTGATTTTCTTGCAATGTCTGCAAAATTTCAAATATTTTCATGCATTTTTTGGTATTTTCATGTATAATTGTCTATGGCTTTTTGCATTTGTCACTTATCAACATAATATATGTTGGGTTTGTCTTTTGCATCATGCCATTTAGGTATTACCATGAGAAAAGGCAAAAACCATGCTAAACATCCTATGAGCACTCCTACTAGGGGTAGTAATCAATCCCAACCGAGCTCTAGCCATCGAATTGAGGCCCAATCGATCAGTTGGCTCTCGAGATTCTTCAAATGGCAGTGGTGTAGGAGGTGAGTATATATATTTATATTCATGCTTTTTTATATAAATTTTATGCTTGTTTTTCCTAATTTTAAACATATGGATTTTTTCATGTTGTTATGTCTTTTACTTTTACTAGACAATAATACCTCACGTAAAAGAACTTGAGGACCTATAAGGTGTTTGGACGCATGGACATTGTCTGAAGGAAAACAAATTCCTATTGAATCAAACAAATATACACAATTTATTGGAGATACAAGTCAGAAATTGATTACCTTTATGGGCATGATGGCAAGAAATGGAAGTTTAGCACCAATAATATATAATGATTGGAGATCTATGCCTAAGGACAAAAAGGAGGAAATGTGGAAAATTATCAAAGTATGTTAATTTAAAAACTACAATCAAATTATAAGTATTTTTTACGAATATTTTGACACATGCAATTAATTAATAAATACATATGATGCAGGAGAAATTTGATGTTGATGACAGTAGTAAATCTTGGGCAATAAAATCTATTAGAAAAAAGTGGAAGGATTGGAAGTGCATCTTAAAGAAAAGATATTTTGAAGTAAATGAAAATGTGGAAGGATTGGAAGTGCATCTTTAAGGACCAATTGGAGCTGCTCATTCGGTTTTGGAAATCTGATGAGGGTGATGTATATAATATTTTTTTAATTATACTTAATTTGTAGGGTTTCATTTGTACTCATTGGATTTGATATGTTTACAGACTCATAGTGTGAAAAACAAGGAGAGCCGTGCAAAACAAATTATGAGACACATTATAGGCACAAAGAGCTTCGCTAGAATAAGAGAGGAGGTAAATTATACAATAGTTTGTTATTAAAGATAAATGATTCTCTTTTAATTAAGACTTTTTTTACATGGGAACAGTTGTCTAGGAAAAGTAATGGAAAGGAACCAGTAGAGCTGAAATGTTTATTATAACACACACACGGAAAAATGGTTCAATTGTGGACCAAGCTTCAACTGATATGATTGTAACTTAAGTTTAAGTATTTCTTTTTAATCATCTTATTAAAAATTTTATTTTCAATATTTCTTGTGGTTATTTTGTTAATTGATTAATTAGAAAGTAAACATGCCATTTTATTATGGGCGCATTTAAATGAACAAATATCTCAAGAAACTGAAGTTTCTGAAGAAGAAATTTTTACTCACATCATGGGAAAAGAAAAATATGGTCGTATTCGAACATATGGGTTGGGACCATCACCTACTGATATATGGGGTACAACACCTGGACGTGCAGAGGCATTGAAGATAACTTCAGAAGCTCAAAGGGAATTACTAGCTACAAGAAAATCATCTGATGAGAGATTCAATAAGATGCAAGAGGAGATGCTTTGGTTACAATCCATTGTGGCTCAATTACAAGAGACGTTGGCTACAATGGCATCCAATTGCCCAAGTCCGACGGCCAATCAAGTAGCTGCTCCTGTATTTTCTATCAGTGTGAATAGGCAATCATCAATATCAAGTCATGTAGCACCATCTCCCGAGGTAAATATGATCTAATTTTAAAAGAAATTTATATCTTGATTATCAATTTGGTAACATCCTTCTTTCAAAATTTTAATGGAAGGTTGTCTTGGCTCCACACATTATAGACAGCACACAAGAAAATAATGTGCAAGCAAGAAATTTGGAGGTAGTTGAGCATTTAGTAAGAAAGTTACTAATTAATTATTATTTTAAATATTTTGCATTGATGGATATTGGCTTTTGGTAGGGATCAATGCCAAAGAGGAGAAAAACTGTGAATAACTCCTGCCATAGGGTTCTTTCGAAGAGTGCTTCAAAGCCAGAAATTACAGTGGCTCAAGGAACATTACTTAATAAGAATTCATCTACAAAAGTAGGAGGCTTTGAATTAGGTGCTGCTTTTTGGGAAGTACATGTAGAGGTCCCTTTTGTGGTTGAGGAGCCTTTAATGAGGCCTTATGGATGTTATCGAACAATTGGGGATGCTGTTGGTTCAAGTGTTGCTTGGCTAACTTCATTGGTAAGTTTTTTTTTTCCATTGAAGTTTAGTTTTCTTACTTTTTTAGAACCTTTGATTTACTGATTTTTATTTTCTTTTTGTAGGTTGTAGACATGTGATCTTTGGACAAATATGCACTAGGAAAAGTTTTTGGTTCAACAACAAAGTAAGTCTACTTTTTCTCATTTTATCACTTATTGGAGCTACTCCTTGGTTCCTTTGTTTGACTTCATTTCTGAGTCTATTACGGTGCCATACACATTTCTGCCACAGTTTCTGGATGGAACCTTTACATGGTTCTGCCAAAAGGCTTAGTCTTGTATCTAGTTCACCTGTCTGATAGTTGAACCAGAATTAGGTAATGGCCTCCTTCATAAATTTCTGATCACAAGAATAAAATCATCTCTTCTGCCATCTACAACAAGAAACAATCTCTTGGCCTTTTTGCCCAAGCATATGTTCTACAAGCTCAGTCTCCTCTTATTAATATTACTCTATTGTCATGGAAGAAGTAAAGAATGGGTCTGGTTGGTTTGTGATCGGAATTGGAATGGGAATCCCTTGGGATTCGATCCCAAGTCTCTGCTATGACCAGAAGGAGACCTTACCAACCAGAAGATTGGCACCTTGCCATGTGATAGATTTATATGGACCATAGTGGGATCACATTGTCATGGATGGGTTAGCTAGAATGGGGCTAATAGGACTGAAATGTGTAGTGGGCCTTCACAGTTGAAGCGAGTCAATTGAGAGTGTGTGTACACACACACACACTCTCTCTCTTTCAATTGATTCACTTCATTTTGTTTTGATGTGCATCCCATACTCTTTTTTTGTAACAACTTCTTTCCTTCTTTACTAATCATATCTTTATTGTCACTTCCCCCAACTAATGTAGAGTCTAGTAGATAGAAAGCAAGGTTGATGGATACCCTTACTTCAAAATCCAACAAAGTATGTACCCAATTTAGGGGAATATCCAGAGAGTAGTTGCTGGTTTTCTTCTAATAGCAGTGAACTACTATAAAATAACAGAGGAAAGGAGAAATTACATGTTTTTCTAACTCTAATTTCAAGAGGAGGAAAAAAAAGGAAAAACTGTAGAGAAGAACAAAAATTGCTTCCTTCAATTCTGCTATTCTTCCAAGTTTACATGTATATATAGAATTCTTCAAAGCTTTTACTGAATAGAAATTTGGCAGTTACTAAAACTGCACCGGGTTCCTGATTATAATCCTAGAAACGCCCAAGAATAGAAAGGAAATAGAATGCTTAGTTGCTGAGTTGTATCAAGCACGGTTCTTGTACACCATTGTATCTAAGTCTAATTCAGATATTTTGGCCTTTTGGGTGAGGCCAGGCCAAAATACACCATTGTATCAAGCACAGTTCTTGTATAATCATAAATGTATATGTGCACATAGGGGCAGGACTTAGCTGGGCTCAATTTCAGGGCCCAAAGTGAATTCAAGTTGGCTTGGACTGGCTCCGGTCCAAATCATGGCCCTGGAGCTTGTGGGCTGGTGTACAGAGGCTTTTACATGAAAGATGATTCTTCAAATAATATTTAAAGCATGGTATTTATAAAAGAAATCAAACAGGTAGGTACTTATGTCACAATATAAACAAATACCAGCTAAACATCTCATCGACTATTATGTAGTATGGGTCAACACTTGCTGGGCTAGAACCCGACCTGACCCAGCTTAAATGGGCAAGCATTAAGAAAGGTCCTTAGGCCGAAACCAGGCCTAGTCACTGCCTGGACATATATAATAGGGTAAATGACAAAGAGCCCCCCTGTATTATAGGGTCAGTGATAAAGACCCCTGTACTTTAATTTGCAACAAAACCCCGGCCCCCTGAACCATCCAAACATTTCTGTGTCTCATTTTATATTTTACTTTGAGACCTGTTCCTGATCATATATGGTTATTTTGTCTGCAATCCTCTCTTTCTCTCTCTCTCTGAACAGGGCAGGATTGTATTTTCAGAACTAAAATCCTATTCTTCACATAGCTTTCCAAGACTTGTAATCTTTTCATCTTAAAACAATGAAGGAGGTATCTAGAATCTGAACTCAAATAACCCAATGATAATTGTGAAAGATCAGCCAAGGAACCAAGGTGTACTAGTGGTGGTACTGAAAAGAGTTGGCTTGAAAAGAATCAATGCATAGCAGTAGATTGGAATATTTCAATTGCTCTTCTTGCTGAATTTACTTGATTCAAATCTTCATTAGCATGCTTCAAAACATTGACCGTTTGTGAGTGGTATTGTTTCAACTGCTCTTCTTGGAAATTACTTGATTCATTTCTTCAACGTATTTGTGAAATTTCTTATGCCATGCTTTGCTTGTTACATTTTTTTTTTTCTTTTTTCTGGTTGACATTAGTTGGATGCCAATGGAGAAGACTTCAGCATTACTCGATGAGAATGTTTTCTTGAACATGCAAGAAGGCATCATTTAACTTTATTTGTGAACTTGGGTAAATCTCAAAAAAAAAAAAAAAAAACAATTGTTAGGTTCAGTTTGGCTTTACAAACTGCGTCATAGGCTCATAACTAAACAAAATCCACACAACAATATTAAGGCCATTCTCATTCCTTCTGTTTTTGCGTGTCAAGTGATTGTAGCATCTGGGATCTCTCTATGATTCCACCTATTACTGGTTTTCTCTTCTATTGAACAGTCATATGACTACTGATTAAAGGGAAGCAGGGAATGACTGCCATTGGTCCATTTTCCATGTTAATCTGGAAATAATAAATTGGTAGCAACTTATGCTACTTTCACATGACTGAAAGAGAAGTATCATTTAGAAGGAAAAGTGAAATTATGAACTAGTAAATCCAGGGTTTACATTTTGAACCTTTAATTTAACTGATTATTTATTGTCAACATCTTCTCAAGGCTGGACTAGAAATTATCGCCCAAGTTAAAATGAAGCCCTTCTGGGTAATTGGTTCATAGTCTTGAGAGTTCAACTGTCTGGTTAGATTCAGTCTTCAAAACAGTAATATGGGCTCATTAACCATCCATCAACAGTTACTGACAAAGCTGTTAAATCTATTCCTTGTCCTCTAATAGCAACACTCAAACATAATTATAAAAAAAAGCAACATTTAAAGAAAAGTGGGTGTAGTTATATGCTTGTAATCCTTTTCCTACTCATGGAATTGTTCTGGAAGAGTGGTTATATTGGTAATTTGGCATTGTACTTTGTTTGGACAAAAGCTGGAAGTATAGACCAACAAAGTGAAGTAATTAAAAATCTCCAAATCATTAATATACAGAAATCATGTTACACAAAATCAACAATGGGAATGGCTGTTTACTAACTATCTAACAACTTCTATTTGGCACCATATGAATAAACTATCTGGAAACTTCTAAACAGCCTCACCCAGCATGTTGGTCAAGCACATAAGAAATGGTATCAAAGCCTACCAAGTTCGAACCATAGTGAGGGCTACCTGGGAGAAGGGCTCCTTAGAGCAGAGTGAAAGCTTTCACAAAAAGGGCTACCTATTGCTAGAGTGAGAGCTGCCCAAGCAATGCAAAGTTGCAAACTATCTTGTTTACACTAAAGTTATCTGTTAAATGGAAATGGGTTTTTGAAAAGAAAATTGGTAGAGCAGAAATAGATTGGAACTTGGAAGAAAAGAAAGATCTATCTAGTTAGCTAAACCAGATTGGAACAGTGATTTTTTTTCCAATTTGTAGCTGTTTGTAGTGCTTCTGAATATAATATATTTCTGAATTTTATATATTTTCTGGGCTTTTGTGTAAATTTTAAGGTTTCATTTAGTTTGGACCTGATTGGGCCCAATCCAGTCAATTTGCATTTCAGTTGGACCGGATTGGATTCGGTTTGTATGGGGTTTGGACCAGATTTCGTCCAGTTCATTTTTAAATGGACCAATGATGGACTAGATTAGATTGGACCAAATCCAGTCCAATTGACACCCCTACTCTCTAAATAAGGTGAGAACTGTTAAAGATACAACCATAAACTTGTATGCTGTTCTAGAAAAAACAAATAGTGAAAGCACACAAAATAGTCCATTTGTAACAAAGGTATAATATCTGTTATATAAGATCTTTCTCTACTTATCTATCTCTTAGCCATCTATTATTAGATCCAAAGATATAATATTATATCTAGTTTTTATTAACAAGATGTATTTGTTTTTTCAGGAAATTGTTAACATGGAGGGTATTGAAGATGTATACTTTGGAATTTGACGAAGACTTTTGGACATCATAGAGCGAAATGATTTTTTTGTTATATTTTTTGTTGGTTCTTGGACTATCCATTATGGATCTATGATCTGAAAATGATAGTTGTATATATAAACATTTTATGATAAATTTGTTTTATATGAAAATGGTTTATTTGGTTAAATTTCATAATTATTTGATTTTTTAATTAAATATATAATATGCATTTGATTTAAAGGGCGCGCATGATGAAATTAATATTTATTGATACAGGTCCATTTACCATTATAAAATAAGCAGCATCGTTTTTGTTGCTTCATTTTATTATTTTTTAGCATGCATGTATGCTATTTAGTGGCGCTTGTAAATGCTACTAAATCCTAAATGAAAAGAATGATTAAGACTTTTAGTGGCAATTATAAATGCCACTATACCAGTTGCTATTTAGTGGTACTACGAATTGCCACTAAATGTGCCAATTAATGCCATTACTAAATTCAAAAATGGCATTTGAAACTGTCACTAAAGCATGAATAAAATGCTATTAAAATAGTTTTTATGGGCGTTTATATAAGTGCCACTAAAATTTGGATAAATGCCATTAAAAGTAAGTTTTATTGGCTTTTATTTAAGTGCCACTAAAAATTGGATAAGCGCCACTGAAACTTTTATCGACTTAGGTATCGGTGGCGTAATTTGTAAATGCCGCAATAGCCTTTAGTGGCGTTTTTACCTATTTTTAGCGGCATTTTTAAATGCCGCTAAAAATCATTTTTCTTGTAGCGAGGGAAGTTGTAGGGGTGCAAGTTGGGCTAGGTTAAGTCAGGTTGAGGTCAATTTAAATTTCTACCACCAAACTCTAGCCCTATCAAAATCTACTACGAATCACAATAGGTTTGTTAATAAAAATCCAAAATCATGAAACCAACAACAATAAAAACACAAACTCATAGAACATAGATGGTAGGATCTCTGATTTGTTGTAGCAGAGACATGACTAAACCTCGCTAATTCGGTTTTTCAGCTAACCGAATTTCTAAACCAAAAAACCAAAATCAAAATTTTTTGTTCAGTTTTTTGATTTTAACCGAATGATGCTCACCCTATGCAGTGTAATCAAACACATTCTTAATAAGATGTATCGCGTAACCAATCATTGATAAACACTTATAGTGTTCCATACACTTTTTTGAAATGCGCTACAAAATGGAACTCTTATTCACACATGCTACAAAATGGAATCCTACCCTAGTACCCCCACTTACCAAACTCCAAATCTAGGGGTGCAATTTCATTGGATTTGGGTTGGGATTTTGTCAAATTATCAATCCAAAGATCCTTAAGTCCGAAATAGGGTAGAATGTTAACTCGAACCATTTTGAGTTGCACTCATATCTACAAGCGCTCGTGAGAAGGGGGGAGGGGGTCCATTTTGTAGCACATTCCAAAGAGTGGTCTGTTTCCAAAGTTTGGATCACCTAGGTTTGGATTGGAGTCTCGTTTAGTGAGGGAAGTTATAGGGGTGCAAGTTGGGTTAGGCTAAGACAAGTTGAGACCAATCTAACTTTCTACCTTCAAATTCTAGCCCTATCAAAATCTACTATGAATCACAATAGGTTTGTTAGTAAAAACCCAAAATCTTGAAACCAACAACAATAAAAACACAAACTCATAGAACATAGTTGGTAGGATCTCTGACTTGTTGTAGCGAAGACCTTGGACTAAACCTCGCTACCACCAGGGTTTGGGGGATTTAAGGGGACGGGATGGACTTATTGGCACTGATGCAAAACTATGATAGGCAAATTTTAATTTACTTTGTTTGACTGAATTATAAATAAAGTAAAATAAAACTTAAAACAGAACAAAGTAAAATCCCAAGCAAAATTAAACCATAACTTGCATTATTTGTTTTCTTTCTTGCTTTTCTTTTGCACTCACATGCATTCATACCGTGCAAATAAAGTTGCACTGTTAGGGGTTAACAAATGATTTATTCGGTTAAAAGCCAAACAGAATAAGCCAAAATTTTAAATGAAAAACCGAACCGAAGCCAAAATAACTGAAACCGAAATTTTCAGTTATTTTAATTGAAACCAAATTTCAACACTATATATATTTTAATATATATGATAGAAATTATATATGTATTATATATTAAAATAAATATATATTTTATACAATGTATGTAATAAATTATATATTTTAATATGTAATATAAAACAATATAATATATTTTATACATTTTATATATGTGTTTTTTTAGTAAAAGATGATTCATTACTATGACAAAGCAAAACAAAACCATACATATATAATTTATGTATTAATATGTATAAAATATCAAACATATATAATTTATGTATAATATGCATTTTTTTGGTAAATTATTTGTGTTTGGATTTGTTTTTCTTTGTCTTAGTAATGAATCATCTTTTACAAAAAAATTACATATATAATATGTATAAAATATATTATATTGTTTTATATTACATATTAAAATATAAAATTTATTATATACATTGTATACAGTATATATTTATTTTAATATATAATACATATATATATTATAAATAATAAAGTTTGGTTAATTCAGTTTTTTAATTAACGGAATTTCTAATCCTAAAAACCGAAAATAAAATTTTTTGTTCGATTTTTTGATTTTAACCGAATTATGCTCACCCTATGCATTGTAATCAAACAGATCGATTCTTTATAAGATGTATCGCGTAACCAATCATTGATAAGCACATATAGTGTTCCATACACCTTTTTGGAATGCGCTACAAAATGGAACTCTCATCCACACATTGTACGGAATGGAGCCCTGCTCTAGTACCCCCACTTACCAAACTCCAAAACTTGGGGTGCAATTTCATTGGATTAGCGTTGGGGTTTTGTCAAATTATCAATGGACCCAATCCAAAGATCCTTAAGTTTGAAATAGTGTAGAATGTTAACATGAACCATTTTGAGTTGCACTCATATCTACAAGCGCTTGTGAGAATGGGGGGAGGTCCATTTTGTAGCACATTCCATATAGTGGTATGCTTCCAAAGTTTGGACCACTTAGGTTTGGATTGGAGTCTCGTTTAGTGAGGGAAGTTGTAGGATTGCAAATTGGGCTAGGTTAGGTCAGGTTGAGGTCAATCTAAGTTTCTACCCCCAAACTCTAGCCCTATCAAAACCTACTACGTATCACAATAGGTTTATTAATAAAATTTCAAAATCAAGAAACCAACAACAATAAAAACACAAACGCATAGAACATAGTTGGTAGGATCTCGAATTTGTTGTAGTAGAGACCTAGGACTAAACCTCACTACCACTAGGGTTTGGGGGATTTAAGGGGTCGGGATGGACTTATTTGCACTGATTCAAAACTATGATCGGAAAATTTTAATTTACTTTGTTTGATTGAATTATAAATAAAGTAAAATAAAACGAAATAAAATCCTAAGCAAAATTAAATTGTAACTTGCATTATTTGTTTTTTTTCTTCATTTTTTTTGCACTCACATGCATTCATACTGTGCAAATATAGTTGCATCGTTAGGGGTTAGCAAATGGTTTATTTGGTTAAAAACCAAACAAAATAAACCAAAATTTTAAATGAAAAACTGAATCGAAGACAAAATAACCGAAACCAAAATTTTTGGTTATTTCAATTAAAACCGAATTTCAACACTGTATATATTTTAATATACATGATAGATATTATATATGTATTATATATAAAAATAAATATATATTTTATACAATGTATATAATAAATTATATATTTTAATATGTAATATAAAACTATATAATATATTTTATACATATTATATATGTATTTTTTTTTGTAAAAGATGAGTCATTATTAAGACAAAGCAAAACAAAACCATACATATATAATTTATGTATAATATGTATTTTTTTGGTAAATTATATATGTTTGGTTTTGTTTTTCTTTGTCTTAGTAATGAATCATCTTTTACCAAAAAAATACATATATAATATGTATAAAATATATTATATTGTTTTGTATTATATATTAAAATCTATAATTTATTATGTATACCGAATTACTAAGCCTAAAAACCGAAACCAAATTTTTTTGTTCGGTTTTTCGATTTTAACCGAATAATGCTCAATCCTATGCATTGTAATCAAACACATTCTGAATAAGATGTATCACATAACCAATCATTGATAAACACATATAGTGTTGCATACACTTTTTTGGAATGCACTACAAAATGGAACTCTCATCCACACATGCTACAAAATGGAACCCTACCTTGTACTCCCACTTACCAAACTCCAAAACTAGGGGTGCAATTTCGTTGGGTTAGGGTTGGAATTTTGTCAAATTACCAATGGACCCAATTCAAAGATCCTCAAGTCTGATATAGTGTAGAATGTTAACTCGAGCCATTTTGCGTTGCACTCTTATCTACAAGCCCTCATAAAAGGGTGGGGGGGGGGTCCATTTTGTAGCACCTTCCAATGAGTGGCATGCTTCCAAAGTTTGGATTGTAGTCTCGTTTAGTGAGGGAAGTTGTAAATGTGCAAGTTGGGATAGGTTAAGTCAAGTTGAGGTCAATCTAAGTTTGTTCCCCCAAACTCTAGCCCTGTCAAAATCTAGTATGAATCACACTAGTTTTCTTAATAAAAATCCAAAATCATGAAATCAACAGCAATAAAAAGACGAACTAATAGAACATGTTGGTAGGATTTCTGACTTGTTGTTGCAGAGACCTGGGATTAAACCTCACTATCACTAGGGTTCGAGGTATTTAATAGGACGGGATGGATTACCCCCCGTTGTGTGGCCCCATGGAGCAAAAAAGAAAGAATTTAATTTATTGAACATAAATCACTAAAAATTAATAAGAGCTAATCATTAGGGTTAGGGCTTAAGAATTAAGACAACCAAATATATTTGTAGCAAGACCATCATACATATATACATACATACATGAACACACACATGTAATCGAAGTGGCAAAAGTCAACTCTAACCTGATCATCAACTAGACTCAACCCAATTTACCCAACCCTCTTTCAAGTTGGGTTTGAGCTAACCCAACCCAATTTGTAGCCCTAGGAGGGTGGATTCAACGCATAAATTGCTGTTGTTGTTGTTTTTGTTTTTTTTTTTCATCCTCCAAGGGGGTGAACCCTAATCCAACCCAAAATAAAATCGGGGTGGCAAAAGCAATCCTTACCTGATGAACAATCTAAGCCAACCCAAGTTACCAAACCCACTTTCGTGTTGGGTTTGGGTCAACCCAACCCAAGTTGCAGCCCTAAGAGAGTGGATTCAATGCATAAATTGTTGTTGTTGTTTTTGTTTTTTTTCCTCTTCGAAAGGGGTGAACCCTAACCCAACTCAAAATAAAATCGAGGTGGCAAAAACAATCCTTACCCGATGAACAATCTGGGCCAACCCAAGTTACCTAACCCACTTTTTAGTTGGGGTTTGGGCCAACCTAGCTCAAGCTGCACCCCTAAGAGGCTAAGGCCTAAGAGGGTGGATTCAACTCATAAGTTGCACATTGCGGTGTTTTTACTTAGAGTTGTAAAACAGGACGTGCCTCAATTGGAAACTAATTGAAAAAAAAAACAAGAAATCTAACAAAGAAAAGAAAAAAAATACTTAACAAAATACAAAGTCAAAGACTCAAAGTGGACAACAAATTGGGAAAAAAATAGGAATTTTATTTCATTTAAATTTGAATGATACAATGGTCGGATGAATGAAATATAGAAAATGGAATAATTGATAAAATATAAAAATACAATATAGTTATAAATTGAAAATAAAAAAACTGCATTATTGAAAAATATCAAGTAATTTAAATAACATTAAAACAAAATTTACAATAATTTGAAAAAAAATTCTCTACAACTACTGAGTATACAAAAAATATTGACATCATCATTTTCTTTAAATTTCACCTGCACCTCAATCTCCTTGACTTCGATCATCTACTTCAAACATCAGGTGTAGTGTCATGCCATCATTTGTATTGTAATTTATCCTCAAGATCCAATCAATCATTAAACAAATGCACACTTCTAGACTTTCATCACCCATGCAACTTCTATTGTTGTCCAACACCCTAGTACCTGCACTAAAACAAGACTCCAATGGAACTGTAGACACAATAAGGGTTTGTAGATCATGTGCCATTGTGGCAAGGACTAAATAATTTTTTTTCATGTCCACTCCACTAGGCTAAAATATTAAAATTATTCATTTCCTCCAAGGCAAATGAATCACCTAAATAGAAAAAAATTGCTTGTAAATAAAAATTAAGTTTAGTAAATGAACTTATTGATGAAAATGCAATGGGTTTATGCCTCCTACTTATTAGATACCAAAGTTTTTCTTTTCCACTATTAGAACTAGTTTCATAAGTGGAAGATGCACTAGTACAAGTTGTAGATTTCTCATGCCCTGTTATTTCATATTCATATAAACTATACATTTCAAATAATAAACTATCACTTTCTTCTTTTTTATTTCCAATTTCAATATTCATAATTCCACAATATGTTTTAAGTAAAATATCTAAACCATCTTTCATGATCCTAGGATCTAATATTGTAGCTAAGCAATAAAGAGGATAAATGTTCTCCCAATATTTTTTAATTTTTTATTATTTCAATAATACTTTTAAATAGTGAATTGTTTCTATATTTTGCAAAGCAATCACTAATCATTATTAATTGATAAGATAAAATACAACTAGTTGGGTAGTAAACACCTGATAATTCATTAGTTGTATCATAAAAATGTTTTAATTTTTTTTATACAAATTGCATTTCCTAATCTTCCTCAAATATAATATCATGTGGCATTTTTGCATTATAAAAATCACTAAGAATTTGTTTGTAAGCAATACAACTTTCTAACATAGCATAGGTAGAATTCCATATATGTTTTAACACATAATACAAAATGTTTATATTTTAAACCATAATTTTGACATAAATATTTAAGTTCTTTTTTTTCTTGCTCCATAACTTTTAATATATATATATATATAATATAAAATACAATTTCTAATTTTAGAAATATAATATTCAAAGCATCTTGAATACATAAATTTAAGATGTAATATGCACATTTGATATGAAATAATTTACCATTTAAACATGGTTTCAATTGAGACTTTAAAATGTTTATTGTTAAATCATTATTACTAGGATTATCAAAGCTAATAGAAAATAGTTTATTGTCAATTCCATAAGCATGTAAAGTATTTAAAATACTTGCAGCAATAGTGGGCTAGTCGGTGGCCATTCAAGCCTAGTAAAATTTAAAATTATATTTTGTAAAAGCTAGTTTTCATCAATAAAATGATTGGTAACACAAATATAACTTATATTAAATTTAGAGGTCCAAATATTAGAAGTAATTGCAACTTTAGAATTAAGATTTGAGAAAATACAAATTAAATTTTGTTTATATGAAGACAAAAAATTTTAAAGCATATGATCTAGTATTTTTCCTATAAACTTTTTTAAATTGTGAATTTACATAATTACATAAAAATCTTTCAAGTTTAGTATATTCAACTAATAAAAATGGCTATACAACATGTAGAATATATTTTTCTAAATCTTGTCTCATTTACTAAAAACCCCATGCCCAATTTGTGTTTGCGTTGTTTCTTTCCATTCTTCTTCTTCTTCTTTCTCATGAAAGAGCAAATGTATGCCCAAGTGACCAATACCACACTTGCTACAATAGCTAAAGTCTTTAAACATTTTCCATGGGAAAGCAAATATTTTCCCTTCCTCTTAACCTCATTTACTTTAAATATTTTCCAAAACGGGAAATCAACTTAGTGGCTTCTTTTTCTTTCCCTTAGTATCAGTACTAGGGGTGGAAATTCCCTCAATATCAATAGCATCCATATCGGTGCTAACATTATCATGTTGTGACTGAATATCGTTTGCATTGAATATGTTTATATTGGGGAATTGGTTTCGGGAGGAGCTGATCATTTTTTTTTAAATTCTAAAAAAATAAAAATTAATTTAATTGCACTTACCCGGATTGCCGGTTCGAAATCTCAACTTGATTTCAACGATTAAAGCCTCCAAGCCTCCTAAATTGCTAACTTAAGATACTTGAGCAAGCATTCTTCTTTTTGAAATTTCAATAAAGTTGAGAATTGGAGAATAAAGAGAGAATGAAAATGTATGAAAGATTGAGAGAGTGTGAGAAGAGAGTTGTTGAATTGGTGTGATGAGAATGGTGGAGGATAGAGCTATTTATTGGAATTGAAAATAATTCAATTGTTTAAAAACCCAAAAACTAGCTATTTTTTAGTTGTTTAGAGGGGTACTTTGGTTATTATAAAGTTATTTTACCACTTTACCTAAATGTCCTTTAAACTAGTTATTATATAGCTGTTGGGGGACATTGTTGTCATTTTCTCCCCCAAAACCAAAATACATAAATACTCCCTATATAATTGTTTATAGCTATTGAGGGGGGTATTTTTATAAAAAAGCCCCCAACAAAACTGAAACTAGCCATTAGGGCCCCCAATGGTTAATTTTTCGGGCGGGTCACACTCGGCCCACTTCGGGCCCATGGATTGTGTCATGTTGGGCCGTGCCACGAGTTGTGCTGCAGGCTAGGCCGTACTGGCACATAGGCTGCGGGTGGCACGACAGCCATGCTATGCAATGCCGACCCACAGACATGAAACCCCCTACTTGTCTCGGCCAGAATTTTATTATGTCAGGCCGGCCAAAAATCGTGCCGGCTGCGGGCGGCACGGCCAGTTTTACAGCTCTATTCTGCCATTCACGGAGTTTCCCAACTTGTTGGGAGTGTTTGGCTAAATTGGGCAAATCAGTCCAGGGGCAACCACGTAAATGAACGTTTCTTCGTAACTTTCACCAACTTCTCCACTTTTATTTTATCCAACTGTATTTGAACATGTGTAAAGTTCTCCTTCACAAACAACCGCTTCATGTTGCCTTCTTCATCCTAACACGCTCGCACTCTTCAATTCAGATATCTACCCACAAGAAGAGATGTTCTCAGCGGTGGGTAGGAGATCCGAACTGCTCACTCTTCACTGGTTTCAAACTCAAAAGACATATTCCCTCTATTTCCCCACTCTTCCTCCCCTTCCCTTCTCTACCCAAATCCTAATCCAGACCTCCACAAATGACAAAATCAACAACCCCTATTCGATCTCCTGCCAATTTATCATCCTCTTCTCATTTGACTCCCAAAGAAGTACTCAGATTGCATTCCCCACTTCCCCAGAAGCCCAGCAAAATATCCTTCAGAGTTCTTTGCGCCCAATCTTCAGACTCTGAGCAGACCCGCCATTTTATCTCAATTCTTCGGTCAGTCCCTGACTGGGCAGACGGTATAAAGGAACGGGGAATGCAGAAAAAAAGATCCCTCTATGACCATGAGACCTGGGTTCAGCATCGGAGCTCTCTCCGCCATGTCCGCCACCTATTGTCGAGTATGTCTTCTCGAGTGATTCTCTCTTTGATACCACCAGTGTTTGTGTTCACGTCTGTTGCAGTGGCTATTGCAAGCTATAATTCGGCCGTTTCATTGCATTGGTTGCCGGAGTTCTTTCCCTTGTTGAGAGCATCTTCTTTGCCATATCAATTGACGGCACCCGCTCTTGCACTTTTACTGGTTTTCAGAACGGAGGCATCCTATTCGAGGTTTGAAGAGGGGAGGAAGGCATGGACGAAGGTGATTGCCGGTACAAATGAGTTTGCTCGGCAGGTGATGGCTAGTGTAAATAGTTCAAGTGACGTGACACTGAGGAAAGCCTTATTGCAGTATATCATGGCATTTCCGGTTGCCCTCAAGGTCAGTAGATTTCAGTGCTTAAATTGTCATGTTTATGATATTTTAATCACCACTGTTGGATTTATGCAGGTCTTCTTATGTTGTTTCTGGTGCTTACATAGTCTGTTAGGATAAGTTTGATCAGACAAAGTATATGGATGTTGGTGGCTTCGATTCAGTAGTGTTCTCTTTTCCGCATCTCATCATCACCATCATCATCATCATTTAAGTCGTATCCCAACTATATGGGGTCGGCTACATGAATCCTGTTCCGCCATTGCATGCTGTTCAGTGCCATATCCATTGTTAAATGACGAGCCGTTAAATCATTTCCACTGTTTGTAACATATCACTTCTTACTGGTTCTGTAGATGATCTTCTCTGCATGTGACCAAACCACCACCTCATGTTCCCTTTTCTGTATCTAAGTTTGCAAAATTTCATTGCTGCAGTTCCGTAGACCAATGGAGTGGAGAGTGTTTCTTGGGGTAAGGGGAGGGAGTGGAATTTGATGAAAAATAGTACAAAAGGGAGTTGCATAACTGCACCCTGAATTGATTTTATTTGGGAACTATATAAATACTGCTAAGACGAAACACGATAAGGTAGTTGGTTTTCATATATGCATCTTCCAACTGATATTTAAGGTCATCAAATCACATGTGGTCCTGTTTTAAAATAAGATCATGACAGCACCTTCAAATTAACAGGATTTCTTTCATTCTATACAATTATCATGTCAGTGTTGTTGAAGGATCAATCTAATGTCCTACTTTAGACAAATGGCATAAGCATTTTGGCATATAATCAAGGGAAACTAATACTTATAGATGAGCAGTTGACAACCTTGTGGTGGTAGAGAGGTTGCCTTGGTATTTTCTTGAGTGAATACTTCTGCTGCCATCTTAACTCTATATTTAATAATCTGGGTGGCTGACCTTCAGCATCCGCTTATTCTTAAATCAGTATTAGGAAAGGAGCATTATTTTTATATTTCATGTACTGTATTAGGCAATATTCTCTTGTTTTAAAGGAAGAGAGGCATGCACATTTTGGCCTGTGAAAATAATTTCAAAGAACGGTTGCTACTTTAGATAGTTATTCATCTATAGTTCACATTTGTGATATTTGCCACTGTTTCTCAAGTTTGTTATTTGCAACGCAGCATGTCTACTTTATTTTACACTCTCACCTTTTCCATTTCTGGTTAGCAATTTGACTTAATAGAAATTGGGAATGGTGGTTGAGATTGTTACTGGAAAATGGTAATAACAACAAACCCAAGCATATTTGGATGATAAACATGACTTGGAATTGCAGCAAAAGGTTCTTGGTGGGATAAATAAAGGTGCATGTAATTTATATTCTGATATTATGCATCAAGGACAAAAGGGAAATTAGTAAAGACTTTAGGTTGGGTGATGCATTTTGAAATTTTAGCATTCATAGTGTCCCAAGAAAAGTAGTAATCCTTTAAGAAATGATTACTCTGACTGTGCACAGTAGTATCACTCCAATTTTGGAATTTGCATTGTTTGGAGCCACTGTTATAGACTATCTTGAGATGATCTAGTAAAACATGGGCATGCTAGAGACCCAACTAAAAAGTACATCACCTGATATTTTGAACTTGAAGTGGTCATTGTAGCAGATGCAAGATCCTATTTTCTAATAAGGTTTCTGTCGTGCTTTAACGAGAAGAATATCCATCTGCCAAGGAATTACAACTGGTATAGACATATATAAATGCTGTAACTTTTGAAGGCAACAATATGAAGGTAGCAATCAATTAAAAGGAAAAACTTGCTCCATGGATGCAGAAGTGTTTACATACACATTATTGTTTAACTTTTTTTTAATTTCTTTAAGAATTCTTCATTTAATCAGGAAAAAGTAAAGACCCCCCCCCAAAAAAAAAATAATAATAATAATAATAAATAAATAAAAACAAAGAAGCTCCAGCAATGTTTTGTAAATGTTACAATCTTCATTCTTCACTAGCATATATTCAGGACATCCGTCCTACTCTTAAGTTTTCTACCCCCCCTACAAGAAATTGAATTGTATGAATTGTTTGGGACCAAGATGGACGAGGAACATTTAATGACCCTTTTGACTTTTCCCTAAAAATCTGCAAAAGATTAGAGATGCTTTTTAAACTATGGTTAATTGATTTCAATGTAATAGAGCAGTAAATGTCATCCTTTTGTCACACATTATTGTGTTTTGACTTTTGATTGGATGTCACCTAACATAGAGGAACCTAAAGAGTATATTCTTCTTAATGCAGTGTCATGTGATTTATGGATCAGATATCAAGAAAGACATGCAGAGTTTGCTTGAAGAAGATGATCTTGTGGTAGTTCTCAGCTCAAAACATCGTCCTCGCTGCATTATTGAATTCATCTCTCAAAGTATTCGGTTGTTACACTTGGAGGACTCAAAGCGTACTGTCTTGGTAATTTCTTTTTGCTTGGGAATCATTATCTGTTGTTTAAAACATTCAATCAGTTAGTGGAATCTGATCTCTTTGTTCACCTTTTCCTATTGCATGTTTTATGTATATAAGAATAAATTTGAATCCTTAAAAGAAATTTCTTGCTGGGCTAAGCTGTAACTTTAGTGTCTTCTTTTCTCTTGTTCTTCTTTTTTTCCTTTTATGAGGCTCTTTGTGGCTCTTGGAAGATAAGTGTGTTTGTCTTCCTCCTGTAAATTTTCTACTGATGATTTAATGAAAGTGTTATTGATAAAAAAAAAGAAATTTCTGGTTGTTTAACATGTTTTCTTTTTTAAGCAAAAAAACCCCTTGAGACATGGCTGAGGCTTGTAGTCAAAGAGCAGGCCACACCACCCAACCAAGACCTTTCCTACCACATCCCTTACAACTCATTTTATTAATCATCATCATCTGAAGTTGAAATTTTATGATCCATCACAGAAAGCAGAAATCATACAGATAGTTTTAGAAGATGAAACATAAGGCCTAACAAATTCCTGAACAAAAGAAGAAGAAGAAGATAAAGCATATAGTGACAAACGTGACTGAGCGAAAACAGAGTATCCAGAAAGCTCTTTATATTTTCTATATTAAATATGAAACATGTTTACATATTTATAGAGGATGGAGAAGTCGGTTGGTTGGGTTCTTGGATCTTGTACAGCTGTCTTGCCAGGTCAGCAGGTTTGGTTCTAACCACCTAACTGCCGTGTGTCCACACTAATACCCCCCCCTCAAGTTGGAGCCTGTGATATGTCCAACTTGGATAAGAGAAAATGGAATTGGTCAGCCCCGAGAGCTTTGGTGAACAGGTCAGCTGGCTGGGATTTAGTAGAAAGATGTCGTAGTTGAATGATCTTCTTCTGTACATGTTCCCGTACAAATGACAGTCTATATTGATGTGTTTCGTTCGTTCATGAAACACAGGATTGGTGGCTATGTGTATAGCCGCTTGACTGTCACAAAAGAGTTGGATAGGTTGTTTCAATGAGAGTGTGAGGTCACGAAGAACATGTAGTAGCCAGATCAACTTGCTTGTAGCCATTACCATGGCCCGATATTCAACTTCAGCAGACGAACGGGAGGCTGTTGCTTGTTTCTTAGTCTTCCATGAGAGAACAGATTATCCCAACATAGTAACATATCCAGTTGTGGAGCGACATGTTAAAGGACATGTGGCCCCAATTAGCATGAAGTGACAAAGCTGGGGAGGAAGAAAAGAAGACGCCTTGTGTTGGATCAGCTTTGATGTATCGAACTATCCTTTTTGTAGCCTGCATGTGTTCCTCTCATGGGGCATGTAGGAATTGTGAGAGCATATGAATTGGAAAGCTGAGTTCAGGCCGTGTAATGGTCAAGTACACGAGGTGGCCCACCAATCTTCTATATTGCGAAGGATCTATTGGTAATGGGCTATCCATACCCACAAACTGTCGTCGTTCCATGGGATGAGATATCGTGTTTGCCTTAAGCATTCTAGTCTCAGTAATGATATCCAAGCCCAAAAAATACCGAAGTGGGCCTAAATCCTTGAGATGAAAGCATTCATTGAGGTGGGTTTTGAGGGCAGCAATTCGAATTGGGTTGTCTTCTGCAATGACCAAGTCATCAACATAGACAAGAACAACCACAAAGGAGCCAGATTGTGTAGATATAAAAAGAGAGTAATGTGCCACAGACTGAGTGAATCCAAATTTACGAAGAGCATCAACAAACTTCTCAAACCAGCAGTGGGGTGCTTGTTTAAGGCCATACAAAGATTTTTGAAGTTTACATACTTTATTCTTTGCATGTTTAGGAAACCCTAAGGGGATGGACATATATACTTCTTTTGTCAAGTCACCATGTAAAGATTTTTGAAGTTTACATACTTTATTCTTTGCATGTTTAGGAAACCCTAAGGGGATGGACATATATACTTCTTTTGTCAAGTCACCATGTAAGAAGGCATTATTGACATCTAATTGATGTAATGCCCATCCTTTAATAGCAGAAAGAGCCAACAAGCAACGAAGTGTTGTCAATTTTGCAACAGGTGTGTATGTATCATGATAGTCTTGACCTTCAATTTGGGTATAACCCTTGGCTACGAGATGAGCTTTATATCGCTTAATTGTGCCATCTGCCCGAAGTTTTAATTTGTAAACCCATTTGGACCCGATGGGCTTCTTGCCAGGCGGTAGATCAACAATTGTCCATATATGGTTATATTCTAGTGCAGTAATTTCATCATCCATTGCTTTACACCAATTGGGATCCTTGATAGCTTGGGAATAAGAAGTTGGTTCCGAGGGCAAAGAAGATGTAGCATTCAAAGTAGTTAAGGAAGTGGGCATGTTGCAAATATAATCCTTTAGGTGCACAGGCTGTCGTTTGTCACGTTGTGGACATGAAGACTCAACATGAGTGTTATGGGCAGGACTGGTTTCAGGTAGATTTATGGTGGATATGTATTCTGAACTTTCAATTAAGGGTTCTGTGGGTTGCTCCCCTGAATGTTTAATTGAATCATTGATGTCAGTGCAGGAGGTGCTAACAAGATCCATGATGGGGCCAGCATCAGCAACATGATGGTGGGTTATTGGGTCAATGAATGGATCATCATTTTGTGGTAAAGGAATGACAATGTCCGGGTTGTTGTCCAATGGTGTTGTGTGTTGCTGTTCAAAAGGGAATTTGGGAATGTATCTTCATAGAATGATACATCACGATATGTAAAGAACCTGCCAGTTTCAAGGTTGTACACCCTGTACCCCTTTTGACCATAAGGGTAACCCACGAATATGCAATGAGAAGCTTGTGGGGCAAATTTGTCCTTACTGGGAGGTCGTTCTTGGGCATAACATAAACACCCAAATGTGTGGAAATGTTCATGACTAGGAGGTTTGTCAAATAACATCTCGTAGGGTCTTTTTCCTTGCAAGGGAACTGCAGGTAAGTAGTTGATGATTTAGGTTGCAGTTATAATGCACTCTCCCCAAAATGATAACGGTAGGGAAGCTTGAAATCTCAATGATCTAGCCACCTCAAGGAGACGTCTATGTTTCCTCTCAACAATGCCATTTTGTCAAGGGGAATCAACACATGAACGTTGATGCATGATACCATTATTCATGAAATAGGACTGCATGGGCCCAGATAGAAATTCTTTACCATTGTTGGATATTACTGCACGAACAATTGTATTAAATTGTGTACGTACCATATTACAAAATGAGACAAAGAAAGAGTATGTGTCTGATTTGTGTTTCATGAGAAAGACCCAAGTAGCATGGCTGTAATCATCAACAATGGATAGGAAGAAACGAACACCATCATGTGTTGGAGTATGGTAGGAACCCCAAATATCACATTGAATCACATCAAATGGAGCAGAGGCTCGAGATGCACTTATTGGAAATGGAGTGCGAGTGTGCTTGGCCCGTTCACAAATGTCACAAGCATGTTTTGGTGGAGTGATGCTGTAATTAGAGAGAAGAGATAATTGCCTTGCTGACGCATGTCCAAGTCTTTTATGCTAGGCATTATAGCTGTCTACATTAGTGATTGAGAGAGCTACAGAAGGATGTGCAGGCTGAAGGTAGTAGATTCCATTGGTCAGCATTCCTTTGCTAATTACAGTCATGGATGCTAGGTCCTGGATTACACATGAACTAGGAAAGAAAATAGCAGTACAATGTAACTGTATGGTGAGTTTACTTATGGACAACAAGTTGAATCGAAAACTAGGAACATATAACACATCATGAATAAGAAATTTTGGGATTATCATGACTGAGCCTTTATGAGTGGCAAAGAAAATTGAACCATCTGGCAAGTTTATTGATAAAGGAGAGGCAGCGGTTCATGATGTAGAAATAAAGATTTCATTGGGGTCCTATGATCAAATGCCCCACTATCAAGAATCCAATCAGAAGAACCAACTGTAGTTGAGAAAGCCTTATCAGACATATTCGAAGCACATATGGGCTGTGTGTCGGTGTTCAGTAAGCGCAGGAGTTGGTTATATTGGTCAAGTGTAAGAGATATTGGTGAGGCTTGGGAGGGGCCACTAGTTGTAGTAGTAGCAACTTGTGAGCCACTAGCAGAGTCAGCATTTGTCTTGGTTCCACAACCTGGCTTCTGTTTTTCCCAGCCTTCAGGATATCCAATCAATTCATAGCACCTATCCTTAGAGTGACCTAGGCGCTTACAGTGCTCATACTGTATTCTCGGCCAAGGGTTGGAAGTTCGATCACCAGATCTGGAGACAACCAGGGCAGCAACATCTAGAGGATAGGTGGTCTTCTGAGACATCAAATTTTGATGTTTCTCATCTTGAATTATGAGCGCATAGGCTCGATTAATGGTAGGAAGTGGATCTGTGCCAGAATGGTGGATCTGACATTATTGAAAACATCGTTCAGTCCCACCAAGAATTGGTAGTCTCTCTCTCTCTCTCTCTCTCTCGATCTGCTATTATTTCTTTGATCGCACTGTAGTTAATCCCACAATCACAATTAGGAATGGGCGACAAATTACCCAGCTCATCCCAGAGACCTTTCAGCTTTGTGAAATAGGAAGCAACTGGGAGATCTCCTTGATTTAGGTTGGAGAGATCTCGCTTGAGTTGATGGAATCTTGTAGCTTGTCCTTGAGAGAAGCATTCTTCAAGTTCTTTCCACATCTCTCTTGCTGATTCTGTGTAGGCGACGCTCTTGTGGAGCTCACGAGCCAAGGAGTTGAAGATCCACGCTATCACCATGGAATTAACTTTGATTCATGCCCGTTCTTCCACCACAGACAGACTTGGCCTCTGCAACAAACCATCCATGAATCCGTATTTGTTTTTCGCCCTAAGAGCAATGCTCATCGCACGTTACCAAGTGAAGTAGTTGTCTCCGGTGAGTGGGCAAGAAACCAGAACAGCTCTAGGGTTATCAAAGGGATGCAAATAATACGGAGAACTTGGATCCAGATCCATAGTCATCTCCGGTGATCAATCGCTGATGTGGAAAAACAGAGTCTAATGAAGAATCTTGATTTCCGTAAGTTGTGGCTGCTGTCGTGCCAGAATGATGGCTACTTGCTGATGGAAAAGGTAACTCAGCCGACAGGAAAAGGGAACTCACGCAGCGGGAAGGTATGAAGCGAGTCTTGTTTGTTGTCAAGGCTCTGATACCATGACAAACGCGACTGAGTGAAAACAGAGTATCCAGAAAACTCTTTATATTTTCTGTATTAAATATGAAACATGTTTACATATTTATAGAGGATGGAGAAGTTGGTTGGTTGGGTTCTTGGATCGATCTTGGATCTTGTACAGCTTGTCTTGCCAGGTTAGCAGGTTTGGTTCAAACCTAACTGCCGTGTGTCCACTGTCCACACTAATATATATAACATGAAGGGACCATTTGGCCTATCTCCGCATGTCAAAGAACCCAAAGATAGAAGAGTCATAAATTGTTTGAAAAGATAAGTCTCTAATGAAGAAAAACCAATTGACATTAGTGTTATAGATTGTATTGGCTCTGGAAGAGTAATCTTAATTGTAAGAAATATTTTTAGAAATCACATCTGCAATTATGTGTTGAGAAGGAACTCCCTTCTGCTAGTTTGCCAATAATCTCTACTTAAAAAGTAATAATGTTATAGAGAGAGATAATTTGCTTAATCTTTTCACTGTTTTTGCACTTACCACCATGCCAGGAGTCAAAAATCTCTTGTTTCCATGAAGGAATTGGTGTCTGTGAGCAACTTATGGGTATTCCAATACCTCTCTCATACACTCGCTTGACTTCAAGGTTTTTGGTCCTCTGGCATCTCACTCTTCCTATCATACTTTGGGATGATTGCAATTGGATTGTTGTTCCTGCCACTTTTATCAGCGCAGCCTCTTTGTTCTGCATTGAAGAGGTAAAACACACACTAGTTCTTTACCTTTGTCCTCATTAACTCTTTTCCTTCTCAGGTGACTTGTACATTTGTGGTTTTTTTTTTTTGTTTTTTGTTTTTTTGCTAGATTTTCTCCATGTGTAGAAAAGAACTTTTTATGTATACAGCTATACATATCGGTTATTCTGTTTCTCGTGCAGAAAAAATAAATATTTTAACCGACCATGATTTTGTCTAGGTTGGTGTTCTAATCGAGGAACCCTTTCCAATGCTAGCCCTTGATGACTTGTGCAACCTGGTTCATGATAGCATTCGAGATGCACTCAATCTTGAGCATTTGATTCAAGGACAACTTGTCGCAAAGAGAAAGTGTCATTCCAGTGATCACTCATCAAATGGTCGGCCCAACTCTTGAGCAGCAGATATGTTAGTACCCAGGAAGCCAAATTTCAAAGCCCAGCTGTTTGTTTACACGATTAACAGCGTCTTGGCTTCTGTTCATTTGTAATTAAAAACCTCACAACTTAGATATGACATCAGGATTTATTGATTAACTTACCTTCTCTGAACCCATTTCTGTTGCTTATTTGTATTTTTCTTACAAAGACTCATTTGTATATATCATAGCAACATGATTCGGGAATTTGTCATTGCTACTAACCACTCACCAATAAATTTGGGGGAATTGAATTAATGAAGCTCGTCCTTTTCACGAGTGACGACTGACGACCCTGATCCAGGTCAGGGTTCAAAATTTGGTAACGTATGGGTCTGTATTGGCCGATACGTATGGTATCATTGGATACCCCCTGAACAGGTTTGAGTAAAACTGAAAAAATAATATAAAACGCCTCTCGATACAGATTGCAGACCGATAAGTCCATTCATAATTAGAACCTTGCCCTGATCACACACTTAATTAATAAAAAAATTATAGTCTACACTCTGTGCCCAATGTTTCACACTCCGAGTGGAATCAATTTGTTTTCAACGGTGGGAAAGAAAGCAGCCTGCCCAAATCTTATAAATCTTAATTTTCAGCAGTTCTTAATCTTTTAGGCTCAGTTTGGTAGGAGTACAAATACAAATATGTAGAGCGCAAAACTTTTGTATTCATAGTTTTTGTTTTTTTGACCCAAGTAGGTTACAGTTGGGTTTGGGCCCAAATTTTTTATTTTTCTTTAATTTTTAAGTTAGACTTGGGCCTAACCCTTAGGTAGACCGAGTCTGGCCCACCTTATATCAACCTGAATCTGGCCCTATTATATAGTACACACACACATGAATTTAGCTCTATTGTATGCCCAAAATTTAGCTCTATTATATAGCATACACATACACACACTCAATCTTGACCTTGGGTGGGTTCAGAACTTAGGCCCATTTCTCTTTTTATTTTGAACAAAATGTTTCGTTCTAATACTAATGTGGGTATATAAGCTTGATTGTTGATTCTGAATTCCAACCATACGATGCTTTGATCATTGTTGGTTGCTCGTGCAGTACATAACCATATGATCGCTTGAGATAACTTTTATCGACTTTGCAAGACTCGGATCAGACTAGGGATGCCAATGGATCGGGTTAAATGGTTAATCTGACTTGATCCAACCCTATAGGGTCGGGTTAGAGTCAATATATTTAGTTTTAGGGTCGGGTTAGGGTTTTGATTCTTCAACCCAATTTGGATTCGGGTTTTGACTGATGCCCTGTCAGGTCATGATACCATGTATATATACAAAATACTCTTGTAACTTTTTGACTTCTAACTTTATAACTTAAAAGTTTAAGATATACATGTCAGTTTTGATTTTTTTTCTTTTTCTAAATGGGAAAAGTGCATCTTAGATTGTATAAAACAATTTCCTAACTTAAATTAATGGATTTTAAATCTTCAAAATATGTTAAAAAAATACAATTGAAATGCTACTGCTCGGATCGGGTTGGTTTCAGGTTGGGTTAGACCCTATATGGTCAGGTTGGGTTCAGAGACTATGCATTTTTAAGGCAGGGCGGGTCAGGTCTGGGTTGAGGCACTGTAGGATCGGGTTAGGGTTAAGGCAAACCCATGCCAAACCCGACCCATTGACATCCCTATATCAGACATAAAACTGAAATGCTCACAGGGTCACGATTTTTACTGATTAATTGGATGATTAGTCCCTCCAAATTTCAAAAGAAAATAGTCATTAAAAAAATCTCATAAGGTCAGTCAACTGTATGATCTGGTTGGTGCCTTAAAACACTGATTTTTTTTTTTATTATAAAAAGGAATGACAACTAAAGGTCCCATTAAACAGCTGAAATGGTTGAAGTAGCTGAACGGGAAGATTTATTGCTTTATGATTCTTTAATATTATTGTCTCTTTTAATGGATTAAATAATCAAATAAATAAAATATTCAAGGGTAAAGTAATTTACCAATTTCAGCAGTAGTTATGAAGGAGTCCACAACCTCCTTCAGTTTGGGGAAAATACAAATATAAACATGTAGTGTGCAAATACAGGTTTAGCAATACAAAATACAATATTTGTATTTGCATTCCTTCCAAACTGAGTCCTAAAAGCAATAAATCATTTAGTTGAATAGAAGACCGTTGGTGTGGAGACTGGGATCAAATTACGTAACTACAAGCTTTCCATAATAAGGTCACTAGGTCAGTGGAGTTCATGTACACTCAGCTCTGTCCCCACCTCTTAATTTCTTGGAATGTATAATCAGTTTGGATCAGGTAGGCACACAAGATGAGAACATTGAGTAAGCACTTAGAATGTATTTTTTTGACATCTGTTCCTTAAAATACTCTTGAAAAGGATTAAAAACAATTTTTGATACAATTTTCAGAATATTTATTAAGTGTTTATTGATCGTGCTTACAATCGGACAGCCAGCTTTATTATACAGCCATACCATTTAGACTGCAGGTTCCTCTTAGCGAGTCCATTGCTACATCCCCAATACAAACCCACCTTCAAGCGTGTAAGAACAATCTGGCATATAAATTCAATACATGATCTACTTTTACATGCTCAGAGGTTCATTCCTATTGGGGATCCAGAAATGGATCTAATAATAGGTAACTAGCAGATGTTATTTTAAATTACATATTTTAATACATTACAATTTACATATATTATATATTATATTATAATATATATATATTATACTGTATGTTTTATATAAATATTATGATATGACACATAAATACTTCATATTATAGAATATTTATATTAATATAATGTATAAAATAAATTTTATATATAGTATTTTATACATAAAATATATAGGTTTTAATCAAGCTTGACCTGGGCAGCTCAGACTCAAACTATACTAAATCTTGGCCGAAGCTATAGCCCTTATCACTTGTGCAAAGGCCAACCTGCCCCAGCTTGACCCATCTCACTCCTATTCGAAAAGCCATTACATGATGTGTGGCTACCAAATTAATTCCTCTCTGGGTGCGAGTTGAAGGGTCCTGCTCCGAGGGCCCCAGCCCAGGCTGCAAATCTTCAAATTATGTACTCCACTTGCAGGCTGCAGCTGTACCAAACAGGATTCTATGATTCCCATGCTTCTTTAAATTTTGGTCCTGCTATCACATTTTGCTCATAGTTTGTTAAATACATTAAATGCTTCAAGACAACTCTATGATTTCCCTTTAATCTACTTTATCTTGATTTCTTACCAATGCATTTAAATGAATAGGACATTCATAAAGTATGTGTTTGGAATTAAGGGCATTTATTCATTAAATATTTACACTTGATTTATTTGTAAAGTTGAGAAAAGCAATAATAAACCCGTTTATTGACATTTAGGTGCTATTAGACACCATATCAGTAAAACAGTGAATAAACGCTTATCCATTGGGGAAAGTACTAAAATGAAACTTCCCCTAACGATAGGCGTACACATAAATCAATGCCTGCTTTTTCTAATCTCTGTGTACGGATCTACATAATGAGGGAAATGTTGAAGTGATGCTTATGCAGCAGTGTTTATTCAATAAACGCTCATGGTTCCAAACACATGCAAAAAATGTCACCTGAATCTTTTTGTCACATTTGGACATTTGGAGGTCTATATATTATATAGGGATGTCAATGCTCTAGATCAACTTGATAGATCATTTTACCAAAAAAAAAAAAAAACTGATAGACCTGATCTGCCCTAGCCCTATTATATAGAGGTTGTGTATGCACTTGGAGTATCCATTTATAATGGGGTTAAAATATTGATTAAACCCATTATGTGTATATCTATCTATCTATCTATTTATCTATTCTAGGTAGAATTTAGATTTGTTAATAATAAACATTGCTATGTATATCATGCATGATTTTGTGCTGCCTCTCAATACTAGGAAATTTTTAGAAAACAATGTATGCAAGTGTATATTGTTCATGTATTGATGATAAGCCATACAAAATTATAAGTGTATAAAGCATAAAATTGGTTTGGACAAAAATTATGATGCATCTATTGCACATTGCAACAAAAGACATGATTGATTGAATGTAATGATAAATATACTTTGTTAAATATAAAAAATAAAAAAATTGAAAAAAATCTTAATTTTTACACATAATTGGTTGAGATGTGGACTTTATGTGCAAAAGTTCTAACTCATAATAGATTGGGTTTTCTTTATGCCGTGTGATGGTTCACTTGTAATAGTTTTCTATAATATAAGATTGTTATTTAATATGAGACATGTAAGGTATCTTGAAAAATGAGAGAATTAGCACGTTTGTTTTCAAATTACTAAGCTAAAATGTGCCACTACACTTGGAATTACAATGGTCTTATAGGGTGAGACCTCATAAAGACTAAAGTGATAAACCTGCCCATGATCGCCTGGGACCATGTTACCTAACCCATTGACCCTATGCTGTTTTGCGTTGGGATAGGGTTTGTGTGTTGTCTTATCGATCTAGGCCCAAGCTATCTAACCCATTGACAACACTAAAATTTGTAGCCTGTTCATGATTGTTTTTTCCCATTTGTTTAATACTTACCTAAAGCTCTATTTGTTTACGGTGCAAATCTAAGCCTTATACAATTTTTGTACTTGATTTAATTTTGCATCATTTTACGTGCAACTACAAAACAGAACAAGCTAAAATTTGAAACAAAAAGGTCAGGCTTTTTACTCAAATTATTTGCACTGTCATAGTTTTGTATCAATGCAAATTTATTTGCAACCGAATACAGCCTAAGGATTTATTTTTCAGCAGTGTAAATTTCTTTTTAACTTGTGTAAATGTATGAGATTGTAAATAAGTTGAATGCAAATTCTGGTTTATTTTCATTTCAACTTTTACTTTGTTTTGTTTGTTCCAGGGGAGCAAGATTGGAAATAAAATGATGTTGTTCCCACTTCATATAAGAGAAGATGACAACAAGAAGTTGTTTGTTTGAGAGGGGTAGAATGGAAAATAAAATATGTTGTCCCTACTCCCTATGAGAAGTGGTCCAACAAATTTTTCATTTTTGGGATGCAAAATTTGTGCTCAACTGCAAATAAAACAAAGAGTATAAATTTTCCATTTGATGGAGTATCAACAAATTTGAATCAGGTGCAAAGTTTACATCCCATTTAGATTTGCATTGCAAATAAATGGAGCTTAAACTCTCGCTTT